ATACAGCCAAAGTCGTCATGATCTAATGAGACCAGATACAAATCAAGGAAACACAAAGAAAGCACCGTAGCTGACCATTACGAATCTCAAAATTAGCATAAATTCCCAGAATGCTGACAGTGGAATGTTTTCACAAGCAGAATTTCCAGTGCAATAATAAAGGGAAGCAGGTTTTTACATATCGGAAAAACGTATAATATAAATATACAAAACTCCTGTTGACCCTGACTGATCACACCACACACATGCAATTGGCAACGTCTGGATCGTCACATCTCATAAATTATGTCTTATCTTGAGTTTTTTATGACATACATTATTCCTTCTTGTTCTAAAGCCATAATGTTTTATCTTGGTACAGGTCCATACATGTTTATACCGCAATGAGGTAAATCCAATCTCTAATTCATCCAGGAACAGCTCTCTCATCCTGAGGGTATACAGTATGATGCCATATAAACTCGAGTCGATGAGGACTCCGAAGACTGTATGACAATAAGTTGTTACAGTTAACCAACTCTGCCTTGACTTAATTGCCGGTCTTTAAGGTTCCCTTTCACTCGCGGGGTAATCCTGTTAAATCCATTAAGGGGATAACAGGAGGAATCAAACTGACCCTAGTATCCCCAACTGCCAGGGTATGTCATAAATGTCTGAAAGCAGAGGGCTAATGTAAAGAAGAAGAAAAAATCAACCATATTGGTATACTACACATCTTGAGGTTTCCTTACCAAGGCCAGGAAATGAACAAAGGCCCTCAAAATGTATTTATCAAATAACTCTATTTTAAAGATTAAAGTTCTATCTAAAACATTAAAGGTTAATCATTAAAACACTAAAAATATATAATTTAGAAAATCTTAAAAATAGATTTATTAAATGTAATGTTGATCCTAACTACAATAAAATATTATCTAAAGTTATAAACGTATCTAAAACGTTAGTAGGTAACACTTTACAGTAAATTCATATCTAAAAGGTTAGATTTAAACAAATAATTTAATGATATAGTTAAACAATCTTTAGCAAACCTTAGCAAAACATAATTATCTCAATTTAGTTCTTATTTACAAAAAATGCTTATGTAAAAGTTATATCTAAAAAGTTTGATAATTGTTAGCTCAAGTTAGCTCAGGTCCATTAAATAATATTAAGACATACAACTTCAGATTTTAATAATGTATTAGTAAATGCTGAAATTAACATGAGATTATTAAATGCTTTAGTAGTATTTTTCCATTTCCATTTCATAAACGAATATACATTTTTTAAGACTCTTCATTATAATTTAAATGTTGTGATAGAAACAGCAGATTTTACTGTTTTTGTAATAATTTAGACAAAATAGTATTAAGAAGCATTTATCGGTTATCATTGTATTACCCAGAATTTAAATATCCGTGACCTTCTTATTCATCAAATCTGGGATAGAGAAATATTCCACCTATAGTTCAAACAATATTGAAAACCCTGTCATTTCAACTGCCCTGTGCAGAAACGCCATCATTAGTCTGTCAAAAGCCATGAACGGTGGCGTCCAAAATATCTCAAAATACTAGTAAGGTTCCCAAAAAGCTGAGGTCAGGTCAGTTAACAAAATGATGGACAGTGCATGCTAAAGAAAGCTGCAAAAAAGACTTGCTGCCCTGACCGCCGCCAGTACGACACTTTCTGGCACCAGTGACACACACCACCAACAACATATGCTCAAATACGTACGTTAATGGCAATCGATACAGGCAAAAAGTACAGTGCGCTGACAGTGCAGGTGTTTCGGCCAGCTCTGATGTGACTGAATTTAGCTCAGGGTAACGAGAGAGCTCTTATTCCTAACACCCAGTCCAAGAGCCAAAAGACTAAATATCAGTTGACTGAGTTTCTAAATGGGTCAGACAAGTTACTGTACCAACTGCCATCTCAATTTTGACCATCCGGGTCCATTAGGAAACAGGTTATGCCAGCATTTTCCTTATTTTCAAACCCTGTCTGAAGATGCCAAATGGATGTAACAGGCCATGCAAGCCAACTGTCAAAAGTAATTTACTGCCATTCTTTGCGCTTTAAAGGATGTGAAGGACAAATTCGACTTTTTCAAGAACCGCTTGTAATTAATAGGCAATTGGTAATTGGTTACACAGTATTATTATATTAATACTTGTATCCAAATGTGCAAACGTCTGCATCACTAAATCTAGACTAGAGTCAAGATCGGAGGAAAGAGAACAGGAGTGCGTTCAAATCAATAAGTTCACACCTGCAAAACACGTCCTCCAGCTTTTCTTTCAAGACAAAACTGCCAAAAACAGTTTCACATAACATGTTTACACACAGACAAGCTCTCACACCCTAGAGGTACAAATCCTTTTTAAATTCCAGTTAAGGTCCTGAATTTGAACTGAATTGAACAAAATGCAGATTTGCATTGAATGTAAAGATGTTAAAGTTTCCAAATGCTTACTGAAATAAAAGCTGTATAAAGGTTACATTAAATTGTGTTAAAATGCATGAAAGACTCAATAGGACTTTATTATCTGAAAACACTGTTCTGCAGTTAGACATCTATATTAATCTAAAAGCAAGCGTTTCTGGGGTCCCAGTGCTCTTCTAAGTAAAGGAGAACTTTCTGTGATCATCACACTGTGTTTAGTGTTTCAGAGAGCTTCAACGCTAAATCAGCCCATGTAAGTGGGCCAAAAAACATCATGCCTAAATTTGGTAGGATCAAAAAACCTTGTTGCTGAACTTGTTCTGTTTTTACTTCGGTTCAGGAAACCTGTTTATGCTAAAACAATGAAACAGATCTGCACCCCACCACAAACACAGCTTGCATTCGATATATGTTATCATTAACAAACTCAACAAATCCAGCCTTGAATAATAATGGATACTTAAAAGCTAATGCACTCATTAAGCAGGCCAAACAGGTCTTTACTCTTTGCCAAGGCATGGGGCTTTACATCTTGTGAGCTGTTGTTAAGAACTAATGCGAGTCAGGAATTGCCCCACCTGATCCTGTCTCATCATGTGACAGCAGGGAAAAAACTGTGAGACTTCAGGAAACAGAGCTGCCAAGCCAAAGAGGACATCCTGCCCAGCTATTTAAACATGCTACAATTCATTTGAACATTAAAATGCAACTGTAAAATGAACGAACCATAGCTTCTGGTTTATTTTAAAGGATGTAAAACATTATCACTGTGCAGAACAAAGACTTTAGGGACAAGAAGGCCAAGAATGGTCCTTTGGGAATACAGAGTGTAATGCACAAATGACAAGCATTGTTAAAAAAACACACAAAACTACCGTCTGTGTGCATTGATAATTTTAAAAACAGTGGGTCCAAAACATATTTAGACATTTTTCATAACAAAAATCAAGTGGCATTTATTCACATATTTGTATCAAACAAAGACATAATTAAATATGTAAAAGCAAAGGTAGACTAAACATTTCAAAAATGGTTGAGAAATGTGGAATTATTTCGGAGAACAGGTTTAGCCTTGTTTCAATCCAATTGGCTATTTGTTTAGATTTTGCAATCACATTCAGACATTTCAAGTGACTAAATACCAAAATACTCTTGGGCTATTATACTTTGTCATGGTGAAACATATTTTCTTGCAGGATGCGGTGAAACAATTAGCATGCAATAACATATGAAGCTGGGCCTCATTAAGCTTGAGTAAACTCTGTCTTTGACTGTTATTAGGCAAAAATGGGCATGGTGTGTTCAGTAAGGTATGTCTCTTACATAAACCAACCACTTTATCTTTAAAATAACACTTTTAAAATAACACAAATTGTGCCTGTTCCAACACTGGATATAAACACAACAAATTACAACATACATAAACTATCACCCGATGAGATCCTTAAAGCTAAGAATAACTACATAGTTTGCCAGTAAAAGAATTCACCCACGGATTTTACTCTTTTAGAAAACTAAGGGGGTGTGGGACGTCTTTATAAATGAAGTCTGTCAAAAGACAACTGGGCCTTGGTGAACCTAACCGAACTATGAGAGAGCAAAACTACAGAATACAAGACTCCAAGAAAAGAAATGTGCATTATATTAACATAATTCAATTAAAATATATTCTTATTTATGATTTTTTTTTTTTATATATACTGGAACCTAGTATTACTATATATGCCAGTGTCTGCTACGCCTACTAGTCTGCATCCCATGAAGAAAGGCATTTGATGTTACCATGGCTACCCTCTCCAATTCTGTGGATGTGCGAGAGTGTTCTCAGCAGCACGGCAGACAGCCCAAGCTAATTTGTGTTTCTAGGTGTGGCTTCAAACCCACCGAGACTCCCCCCTGTCATGGACAGCCATTCTCATTCTTTGTTTAGCCTAGATCCATCCTTAAATGACTTCATTTCCAGCCTGCTGATTCACCCTTTATTGTGTCAGTGTTTACTTGGCAATAAACCCAGACATACGCCTCCATAGTGACAGAAATGCAAAGATGCTTATTCATCACTGAAGAATTCATTTCACTCATTATTTGCTCTGCTATATATAACTGGGAGATGAATGACTGCAAATTAGTGGTTAACTAAAACGATCTATGTCATTAACTGTAAACATAAATGATTGAAATCGCAAAACAAAAACAACACTAAATGTACTCACCCCCCACGTGTTTTCAAACCTGTATGCATTTATTTATTCTGTGGCACAAAAAAAGAAGATAATATGAAAAATGTTTTTACCATACAATAAAAATGAATGGGGTCACAAATAGTTTTGGATCCTATTGATTTCAATTGTATATGGGCAAAAACATTCTTTAAAATATATGTGTTCTGCAGAAGAAAGAAAGTCATACAGGTTTGTAATGACAGGGTAAATGATGGATGAACTTTCATTGTTGGGTGAACTATCCCTTCAAGAGCATATTAATCAATGAAAATATATGTTGGCAAGAACAAACTATGTTCACAAACACATGATATCAAACACATTTGTGAAGAACATAGCAAAACACTAACCTGGAAAGGAATGTGGATGGGGGGACCCTCTCTTCAGGCACTTGGAACACAGGATATGCACAGAGTAGTGAAGGCCAGGCCATTCCTGCAGAAGAACGTTTAACTCTTCCACTAGGGGGATGATGGCTTGCCAAGCTGTCCAGATATTTGGCAAGGATGCATGGCTAGAGATGGAGAGGATCTCAGGCTGCAATCTGCTGCGAGAGGACCGGTAACTCACCGTCACAGGCACTTTCCCCCGATAGGCAAAGATGTGATCCTTTCCATCGGACCGCTGCACCACGTGGCTGTTGATTTGCACACTATACCGTGCAAAAAGTCCAAGAGGGGTGAGGAAAGGAAATCTGTATTCAATCTGCAGCTGCTCGACTGAGAAGAACTGACCAGGGACCGATGAGCCCCCACTGGCCGAGGCCTCAAGATGCGGCTCCTCGCTGCTGACTTGACTGGGAAACTTATACCAGACGGTGGCCCCATTAAGCGGCTTGCTGCGAGGTTTGTTGACACAGTAGCAGACGCCCATTTTTTCCAGCAGTTCCATGATCAGGTGCAAGTCCTGCTGTGTCTGTACCAGAGGTTTAAGAAGCAAGCGAATGACGTTTGAAGGCAGCAGGCCGTGCAACAGAAAACCCTCCACATGACCATGCATCTGCGCAGAACTGGTGTTATCTCCATCATCTCCTTCAGCCTGTAGTTTCTCAAGCATTAAAGCGAGGTCCCTCTGGAAAAACACATTCAAGATGGCGATGAACCGGGGTAGATTGTGGAAGACGTATTCCTTTAACGTCATGCTGTCTTCAAAGTACAAAAGTTTACCGCTCTCGTGTAGGTAAGAGAGCGCGCTTTGCAAACGGTCCTCAGTCAGCCCAGCCTGAAGGCCCAACCGGGCTGAATCCCACCAGGAAAGCCATAAATCCTGTGGCTTAAAATGCAGTTCCTCAAGCATCTGCCATGACTTTGGCAGGACTCTGTGAAGATTGGGGAAAATCTCCCTGTGATCGGCTACAGACATGAGCTTCTCTTTCAAATGCTGAATGTTTCTCTGGACCTCCACGCAGCTGACACATATCACCGGAGAAAGGATTTGTAGTCGATTGTTGAGCATATATTGCAACTGGGACTTTTTACGCCTCAAGTTTTTATCTGTGACCCCGTAAAAGAGAACATGGGGGCTAGAAGTCCGAACTTCGTAACCTAGCTCAAGGGCTTCGTCAACCTGCAGGGCAAACACATGTAGGCATTCAGTGTCTGTTTTTTCCTGGAGCGAAATCTGTCTGTGAATATCCAGGCACTTTTCTTCAATGTCGACTTCCTCACACAAGTCGCTGTGGGTCCCTACAATGCAAACAACTGCATGTGGCACCTTGGCACTGAGCAAGTGGAGGAAACTGCCTACATGGGAGTAGAAGCTCTTTGATGTATATAATTTTAGATTCACCACCAAAACGTACAGAGCTCCGGGAGAGAGGAAAAAGGGTTTGATAAGATCATAGTTCTGCTTCCCAGATAAATCGTATACAATGAACGTTAGACTGCGTTCTGCATCCGCTACCCAGTTCGTCACATCAATACCCCTACATCCAATCGCCATCTTGGCGTCTGACGGTTTGTTGACGATGCACTGCCTGAGTGTGGTTTTCCCTGCATTTCTCTGGCCCATCAAAACCAGTTTAAGTCTGGGTTTTACAGCAGATTGGGAGTGTGCAAGCTCCTTCTGATAGGCAGCTATGTAGGGGATCCCCTTCATGCACACTTCATATGGAGGCTGAATGAGAGGATTATCTTTCACCTTCCAAATGTTGACTTTGGCAAGTTTTCCAAAATTGTCTGGGAGTATGGCGATTTGGTTACCCTGTAAAACCAGCTCCTCCAATTTCCCAAGGTCTACAATAGAGTCTGGGAGAAATGTTATGCTATTATTGTCCAACCACAAATTAGCAAGATTGCACAGCTGTCCTACCTCCTCAGGGAGGAACGGCAGTTTATTCCGGCTTAAATACAACTCCTCCAAACTGGTGAGTTTGATAATAACCTGAGGAAAACCTTCAAATAAATTTGAGGAGAGATTGAGCATTTTCAGCTTCTGCAGTTTCCCAAACGATTGTGGCAGATTTGTGAGAAAATTATTATCGAGCATCAGGCTCTCCAAGTTCTGCAGCTCACAAAATGTTTCAGGCAAGAATGACAGGTGGGTGCTGCTGAGCCACAAAATTTTAATGGATTGGAGCATCATGATGTTACCCGGAAGACCCTCTAGTTTGTTCCCAGAGCAGTCAAGCTCCTCCAGATCACAGAGGGCAAGGATTTCAGAGGGGAAATGCTCCAGCTTGTTATGATCCACATCAAGTGTTCGGAGCTTCCTGAGCTGTGAAAAGGACCTGGGGAAATCATGCAGCTCATTAAAGCTGATGTCAAGCTCCTCCAGACTTTGCAATGTCCCAATCTGAGATGGCAAATATTGGATTTTGTTATGACTGATGCATAACTTTTTAAGCCCCCTGAGAAGATCAATATCTTCTGAAAAGTGGTTCAAGCAGTTATGACTGATATCTAACTCAACCAGCTGACTAAGTTGAAATACTGCAGAGGGAACGGTGGCAAAGTTGTTCCTGCGAAGGACAAGGATGCGGAGCCCGGTGAGGGTTGAACCTAGTCCATCTGGAAGCTCTTGAAGTGAGTTGTTGCCCAAATTGAGGACCTCAATCTCCTTTATGTCCTCAGGTAATGTAATTTTCTGGCTGTTTTTGGTGCTGAGAGTCAGCTGTCGCAGGTTGCTCCTCAGCTTCCTGGAGCGCAAAGCAGCATCCCTCCATAATCTAGCAGTCTTCAGGTTATTCTCCTCAGCCATCGTATCGAAGCTGTGCTCCTCCTTGTTTTCATTGGGCACTGCGATCAATCACCTAGGCAGCATGGTGCCGCTTTCACTCGCTTCATCGATTCGGGTTATCCGCACAACAATCCAGATGAAACCAACATTTAGACCGTGCCGATTTCATCTTCATCCAAAAATGTGTGATTCCGTTCAATCGCATTCAAAAAAACAGGGCTGGGTTGCGTTCTTTCACGCATCCTCGATCGCATGGTAAAAACAACACGCGCGCATTAAATGTCACAAAAATTCAGCCTAGATCATGTGGCTGGCGCTTCCGCCAGCGCGTCCTTTGATACCACATGAGAAAAAACCTAAGATATATCTAGTGAGTTAGAATGAAAGAAGGGCAGTGGTGGTTGCTGTGGTCTTTCCCTGTGTCTCCGCCTATTCTCTGCGCATGCAGCCAGCAGTGAATGCTCACAGGAGCAGCACTGCGTCAGAGCCCCACCTTCTCTACGGCGCCTGCGACGCGACGCGACGCGACGCTCGGGTAAACAAAGGCTTTGATTGGTCTGGTGGTGACGAAGGACGCGTCGCGTTTTAACAGCGGTTTTGAAAACAAGGAGAAGCAGTAAAGGTCATTTCGTTTCGGTCGTTTAACTATCAGTTATGTTCATAAGACCGTGTAAATAATAACTTGCTTCTAAAACATATCATATTAAAAATGTATCAGGATCCTGTTTGCCTAAGATACGAATGGAACTTTTAATTTGTGAACAAACACACTGGGAAGAAAATCAATACACTATAATAGACAAGGAGAAACAAAAGCCATAGTCATGCAAATAAGTCCGAGTGGATCTTATTGACATTAATGATGGTTGGGCTCGGGCTGTGTTGTTTACGATTACAGAAAAATGTTATTTGACGCCATCTACTGGACATGGTGCGCAGGTGTATTCATTTTGATAAAGTAGAGTGTGTATCTAATCAAACCATCAGAAATATTAACGTTTTTAAATTATATATAAATTACAAATTCATGCACTAATTAAAACATAATATTGTATAAATTATCTCTCACAATAATAATAATAATAATGTACAGTGTCATCATAAAAAAGTTTATTGGCAATAGAATACAAATTGAGCTTTTCAGTTTTTCAATGGATGTGCAACAAAGATTAATAAAGCAATGCAGAATTATTGATCACCCATCAGACTTTTTCAAGCCTTTTGCCAGGCGCTTCTGTTTCAGTTGCTCAAGCAAGTTTCAAAATACAGTACATAAACCCAATTAACTGAAAAGGTGAAGCACAGCCTCACCCCACTGATCTGCTATGATGTAAGTTTTTGCAGCAAAGAAATCACACATTACTGGAACAATTTAAGTAAACCTAGATTAGTTTGCCCCAATTACGTAATGACAGGTTTTCATATCTTGTCCACATTAAGCAATGTTATTTTTGGGAAAGAGTCTTTTTAGTCTCTTTTCTTGGGCATTTGAGGTGCTGGGGCTCCTTCAATAGGGGCAGAGATGGGCACGCTCCGTGGTTCTCCTGAATGCATGCACTCATTCACCCGCAGCTGACAGCCATCCTTCAGCATGTGGATGGCAATTCTGGCAATGTTGCGGGAGTCATCTAGACCAGAGTGAGGACGTCCGTCATACTGCATCCCAAGATTCTCCAGCATGCAGATTAGTTTTGTTTGAGTTCGAGCAACCTGAGAGAGACAGGATGAGATGCATGACAAACCTTCAAATGTAATACTCCAAGGTCAACTTATTTACAATTTAGATATCCTTCTATGGCTGTGTAAGGACTCATGAGGAACATGAAAACAAACCTTATAAAAGTTTCCATAAGACTTTCTGATATTGATCCATTTTCTGGCAAACTGCGGGAATCTGATTTGACTCAGTTTGCATTGGGTACGGAGAAATTTTCCCATGTCCCATGACCTACACAAGAAAGACAGTGAGCTGTACGATATATTTTGCTCTTCAACAGGGGCAGTTCTTTTTACGGGGGCTTCAGACCACCTGTCTGTCTTCTCAGCCTCCCGAAAGTCACCTATCTGAAGTGCTGCTTACTCAAGAAAGTTGACGTGTTAAGTCTTGTCAGTTTCAAAATTCACTGATTTTAAGCCATTAAAGCGCAAGACGCCACGAAAGAGAACTCAATGTGATAGATATTTTACACCTGAAGCTAAAGTCACTCCACCTGTTTCCACTCCAAATTAAAGCTCACTACATAGCAAATGATTTTTAAAGACAAAGTCATCTGGCTTTTAGTAATGCTTATTTAGAGTAATAAATTTGTATGGTTTAGAAATTATTTATGTAATTATCATACCCTTAAACATTCTCACATGTAAAATTTCCGTTCATCAATTATTATTACACGGATTTTAAATGAATAAGTATATAAAGATAATATAAATACGCTTTAGAATCAATAAATGAAGCTATAAAATAACTACATGTAAGCTTAAATGTTCAGTTCTCCCTATACCTTTATCAACTGTTTAAACTAACTTGCAGTGATATAAAGTAGCGAGACTTTTTCTTTTAGTTTTCCTCTTTCATAGACAGCTATATTCTTCTTGCTGTGTAAATTTGTTTAAAATCTTAATATTTTAATATTTTTAGTTAATAAGTGAATTGCGCAGCTTCTCTCTCTCTCTCTAGAAATTAAATTCAATGAGTTTCACTCTTTCTCAGCATGTGATTGGCTGTTCGCTACTAATGTCACACCTAACTCCTTAACTCAGGATCAAAAGAGTGACAGTTGACAGAGAAAGTTGATGATCAGCATCATGGTACCAACAAAGACTGGTTGGATTGGTTTGGTTTTGTCATCTCTAAACTAATCATGCAACCCTGAGTTTGTTCAACTACCATCATGGTGCAGGCCCCAGGCCAGTAGACAAATCTTAATGTTTTAGCTAGTTAACAGTTATACCTAATTATAATAATGATATGATGGCAATTTACTGTTAGTCAAACAGTAGCCTAGACGAGTAGTAGTTCAGATTTGAACTGGACCGCAGAAAGACTGGCATCATTATATCACATAACATTTTTGTATTGACCTGGTACCAATTTAAGTGCTAGTAGGCTACCTTTGACTGACTAAAATGGTAATATAGTGGTTTTACAAAGAGGCACCACTTAGGAAATGGTCTTTTGCTAGACATTCTCACTGAGGGTGAAATCCTAGAACAGCCCTGCGCTGTACATATACATTTTAAGCATTACTTAATAACATTCAGTTTCATCCTTACCCATCTGTCAAAAATGTATATTTGTACTTTGTCCCAAGTTCTTTTTCCTGGAGCCAAGAAACTGCTCGCTGTAGAACTTGATTGAATGTGTTCGCGTCATCCACCATTTTCTGGGGAAAAAAAAAAATCAAATATAAATTTGAGCAATTGTTTAACATTGTAATAGACTAAAGACAGAACCATATAGATGGCATGGCATATGGCTTTAAAATATCATTTATATTTATAAAATATAATTTAATCCTTTTCAGCATCATTACACAGTCTTTAGTGTCACGTGATCCATCAAAAATCATTCTAATATGCTGATTTGGTGCTCAAGTAACATGTCAATCTTGCCTGTGATATTCCGGTAAGTTTCACACAAAACTCGGAGAGCTTGGGGTTCACCACTGGCTTCACATACTCCTGAAATGAGTCTACCTGCAATGACAGTAATGGGATTAGAAACATTAACTAGTAAATCAATTCCACAACATTTCACTAAACTCGTTGTATGGTATATCATATGTTTGCCTGGCAAGAATGAAGCACACGGATGCCAGACTGTTCCCTCACCAACTCACAATCTCCAATTTGCGCGTGTCGATCAAAACAATGGGGAACTCGATGATTTCATGTTGGTAGTCAGGTGAGTTATTCTCTTCACACGTCGCTTCAAAATCCACCACACAGATGTAATCAAAGTATCCATGACCGTTTCCATCTCCAGCAGTTGAATGCATCAGTTTTTGCTTTTTGTAGTAACTTTTAAGGCGCTTCCTCAGGACATCCTTAACACCACTGAAAAGACCATAAAGAAAATGAATAGTACCAGTGAATTTGAAGTAAATAGCAAGTTAAATAACAAGAAAAAATATATAAAAGTTCTCAATACCGTGAGTCAAGCTTCAGCTCAGCACATTTTGCACGCATCTGATCTCTGTTCATTCGGTTGATGGCGCCGTTTGCCATTGCGATCTCTTTATATACTGGATCACTGAAATCTCCCTGTTTTGGGGATGGGGGATCCTGCTCCTCATTTTTTTTACAGGAAGCCTAAATGTAAGACAAATGAATGCAACACAGCAATGAATTGCATATTTCAACAGAATATGAGTTTTAAAAAAGAACACCTAAAATAAGTAGACTCTCTTTTTGAAGTGTTTCACAGTAATACTCAAGTCTAGGTGGGAGAAACATATTAACGTTAACGTTGCTGTCTAATTTTTCTAAACCGAGACTGTCAGTGTTAAAATACTCACATCAGGGCAGCATTGCTCCTCCTGATCTCCTCCAGACGTTGTCTGATTTGTAGGTTGACTGGTTTCTTTCGGCGACTCCATTATTTGAGTCAAACGTTAACGTTAGTTCATTTCAGAAACACTGGAACACACATCTGGTTTCGCGCGTTCACGCTCGCCGTCTCTTTTAGCCTAATCCGCTGCTTAAATTTTTTTACAACCCTAAATGATTGTCTCAATATCTTGTTTACTTCATAAACATTTTAATTAGCGACTGTAGGCAAAGTATTAAACTTACCTCTGCTTACCTAGTGTCTAAAATGTGAAGCGAGAGCCAGGCAACTGACATGACCACAGGGCGCACAGGAAGTCGTCATTGAAAAGTCGAACTATTGTAAAATAAAAGCCCCTCTCAAACTTTTTATCTCAATAAAGACGGTTTATTTATGGTTATTTTGTTTATGAACGCATACTAGTTAATCAATAAAATATTTGTTATATTTTTATATAATTTGTGTTACATTATCCTATCAGAAGTTAATACAAAGACTTAACTAAATTTAATGAAAATGCTAGTACAATTTTACGTCATATAAAATAATCAAAACCCTGCATTACTTCAGGCATTCAAACATGTCAAATCTAGTGCATACATTTACCAACAGGTGTTGGCATGACAGTTCAAGATAAACATCACAACTGATGTCAACTGAAGTCAAGATGTTTTCTTTCATATGCCAATATTTTATTAGAAGTTTTATGAACATTTAAAACACTGCATTAAAATACACAAATGAACATACCTAATACAGTCAAGAGAACTTTACAACATCTTTGAAGTGGTTCTGACAAACTTTATATTCACATTCAAACAATGCAATTAAAAAATGTGTGACAAGAAATTAACAATGCAACATAATAAAGTGCATATATCAGAGAGGAAAAAAAGACC